TTCTCCGAATTTTTTGGAAAAGTCTTCTGATTCTCTCCTGATTCTTCGGAAAAAACCTCCTGATTTTTCTCCTGATTTTCTAGAAAAAATCTACTGTTCAACTTCTGATTTTTAAAAAAAACTCCTGATTTCTAAAATTTGGATTTGGCAACCCTGATCTGACTATTTCTGGTCCGGTTTTTTTGCAAAAAATGATTGGTTTAAAAAAAAATTCATTCTTTCTAAACAGTTGAGTTTTTTTTGTAACTAGAATCAACTTCTTTTGCTGAAAATAACCTTTTGTAAGGAAAACAAACGTCAAAACCGTATCCACCTTTAATGTGGACACTTCATATTATTCAATAATGCATTTATCTTAAATTTCATTTTACTCATGATTTTTGATATTTTGAAGAGGGGACCTTAAAAATATTTTTAGTGCATTGAACTAAGTTCAAGGCACTGGAGCGTGTTAAAACGTGTAAAACTTTTCTAGATTTATGTTTGTTTACCCATTTGCAGGACCCACGCGACTAAGGAAGGATGGAAGGGTCACCATTTTCTCCGAGAAGTTTTAGATAGGACTTTTTTCGGGTTTGACAAATTTTGGTGTATCAATGTTCTCCAAGTTTGAGGAACGTACAAAGCAATTTTTTCACTTTTTAAGAAACATTTTGACTTTCTATGATTTTTGGATCGACTCCTTCCCTGCTTCATTTTCTTCGTATTATTCTGACCTATTGACACAAGAAATTTTTTTGTCGCGTGTAAAGGCAGCAACACGTATCAACACTAAACGATCGGTTAAGATGACATATTTTTGCACAGATCTTCTTGAATGCATCTTAGCGGATTTATCTTTTGAGACTCGTTACAATTCACGATTTTTTATCCGATACTTCATGCTTATCTAAACATGCCTAATGGAAAAACTAATACTTCTAGTTCTCTCTGATTTTTATCAGAATGAATAATTATTGTTTAAACAAACATAAGAGAGCAGAATATTCTTAAGAATGTTTGACTACTTTTTTCGTTTATATGTGGGAGATCATGCCAATTTCTACAATCTATTCATTTAGTTCGTTCAATTATTTTTATTTTTCTCAAAGTTTCAATTGGATTTCGATCTACTTCTGATAAAACATTTTTATAATAATACTTTTTCTTTCTGCGTTTCTACCACTCGTGCGAGAATAGAAATTTTCAAAAATTCTTTGTCTTTTATTTATGATTATCTGAATAAGATCTAGAAACTGGTCACCAGTTGAGTATCAAAGATACTTGTGACATCATTTATATTTTTATCACGTTAATGGTCTGTCACTAATTTATTTGACCATCGATTTTTCCTAGGTTTCTTAAACTCATTGTGTATTTGTTTCATCGTTTTTACGTATTGAAAGTCTGACGATTCTATAATCACTGAAGGGGCAACATCACCATTGTAGGATTGAATATATCAAAATTCAATATTACTAGAAAAAAAAGCACGTGTACAAAGATATAAGAGAAAATAAAAACGCTTTTCAATTGCTTCTCAAATAAATACATTATGCTTGCTGAGTAGAATCGATTGAAATATAAGTCTATTTGTCTGTTCTGTTAACATTGAGATCCTTTTATTTTTTTTCGTTATGATCGAGAAATTATTATTATTCTCTCTGCAACTGCTGATTTCGTTCAGACTAGACGAATAAAAAGGTTATTAATCAAAATTGAGAACACTCCATTTCATTTTTTTTCTATCCATCTCTTGTGTAATTAATCTCCTATATCTCTCATTATTCGATGTTGTGAAAGAAATTGTATGATTTACTACCTTTCTTTGACAATGTATTTTTACAGAGTTCTCTAGCATACTAAAGATAACATTTCCTTATCACAGAAGCCAATAAAAATAAAAACTTTGTGATGCAGACATTGAAATGAAAAAAGTACGTCTTGTTTTAGTTATACGTGTTCGATGTCAGTTAACATTGTGATGTAAGGCATTATGAGTCGCCATTTCTTTAGAATAAATCGCTATATCAAACGCTCTGATTCTGAATCATTTTTATGAGGTCACATTGGTATCTGCAAAATATACTTCAGGCTGGTAAAAGATTTTTTTAATGAATGAAACGTTTATATGCATGTTGAAATCTCTATCTTTTCGTTTAATTCTCTTCACTTACAGTTTCTTTATCTCCGTGTTATTTATGCTAACACTTTCATTTGTTTTAGTGCACCATTCATTCAATGACGTATTCTTTCTACGATAGTGCCATTTTCCCCTTTCACTCATAATGATGATCGATACTTTCTTCGTAGCCACTTATTTTATTTCATGCATAGCTTGACGTGTGTTCTAGCAACTTACTGCATTTATTTTCGTGCAGTCAGTTAGGAATTAATAAAAGATAGGAGATCGATAACCAAAATCACTGGCTAAATACGTGTCAGTCTTTTAAATTTTAGTGCTTTCATCGAAATCTTTTGCTCTGACAGAGGCAACACCGATACATGTGAAACGATCAAACGTTGGGTATGAATGCAGATGTGGGGTGTGGGCGTAGGTAGATATATGGGTGTGACTGTGAATATGTGAGTGTGGAAGTGGTGTGCGGATATTGGTCTCGCTTTCTTTCATACTCACACTCACCCTTTGTAGAGGTATCAGACACTACATGAGATACCCCAGGAACTGCCTGTAGGATCTCAGGCAATGAATAATGCATTACAGTAGGTTTCTGTAGCACCTGAAATGTCACAGTTAGCATGCCCAGAAAGCCGTCTGAAAGCTTAATTGAGAACATGTATTAGAATTAAAAATGATCCTAACTTAATGCTAACATCTTGGCATTAATCAAGTTTAATGTCTTTAATGCTGAAGCATGAATCTTGATTATTGACACTGACGCAAAGTCATTAGTATCAACATTAATTTATATCAATACTTAGTCTAATACGACATCTCAATTATTGACTCTAATGCCAGTAATGCAGAGGTATTATTCTTACTTCGTAATGCTAGTGCGAATCAGTTAGCATTTGCTAATATTAATGTTGGCATGACAGCTTTAAATAATTTTTTTTTGCCGTTTTGTCTGAGTCATAGTAGAGCTCTCTCTTTATTATAAATTATACTTGAATTTTTTTCCTCTGTCGATGGAATACTCAGGGTTTTAGACATTTTTATTTATATTCAAACTCCAATTAGGCATTAACTTATGTGGAGCAGTGTGATCCTGTGTTTGAAAACGTATTTATCTTGATGAACAGCTTCCTACTCATAATCCATGATTTACAGTCAGAAGCGAAAGGTTTTGATTGAAGATTGCTTTTCAAATGCTGCCTTCCCACATTTGGATGAGAACACTTCAGGTCCTCTAAGATGCCCGACGGAAAAACTGTCTACAACAGGAAGGGCTTTTCTATTGAGGATGGAGAGTTTCACTGAAATGTGACGGCAATGATTTTCTCAAAGAGGAATCGATATCGAAATTTGAGGTACAAAAATACTACAGCTGTTTAGTTGTGTTCTTACTTTAATAAGCTATAAATTTACTTACAAAAATATGTCATGCATAAACTGAAGTTAAAAGTATTTTATTGGAAGGTTCTTGAGAAATTGGCGTTGTCTTTTTTTGTGAAAAAATGATCAGACAATTCATAAGATGAGTACTATTTTGTTCAGACATGGTGGTCTTACAACTAAGGTAAAACACTAGGAAAAACGCTTCTCTCAGATGAATATTCAAGGTGACAACTTTGAGTCATGGAATCGAGAAAAAGGAATTGAAACGTCAATTATTACATTTAAGTGCATGATTAACTGTATCATAGGTGTAGCTCAGAAAAATTTATTTTCTGCCTTCCTGCCACCCTTATATGACTGTCCCATCTGAGTTATAATTTGTAATGCGAATGAATATTTCTAAATTTTTGCTCTAGGCAAGTACTTGCCTGCTTGTTTTTTTATTTCTTTTCTAATTCACATGATGTAGTTGAAGATTCATTTATTTTCGAACTTGAATTAGGCAACTCATGGGTGCTGGCGGTGTTAAGAGTGTCAAAGCCATTGACTCAGAGCCGTTCGTGTCCAATGAGACCCCAGCTAGAAATCCGCAGCTACGTCCAAAACCACTGCTGATCAATAATAGTAGCTATTAAATTTCCTACCGATGAGTATGCACCGAATCTATTGTGAATCTTCTTTTTCTAGGTATTAAAGTATGCAATGGAACGATTGGCATTTGTCTAGGAGATCTAACAAAACAAGCGGTAATAGATTGTTTTGAAAATACATACATTCAGGATAACTTAACATATAAGTACTCATGATACGATTGAATCCTTCATTTCCATTTTGAAAATCTGAATTATTTCAAGTACTTCAATATTTCTTCTCCTTCAAAAAAAAGTAACAGCAATATAAAAAGAAAATTCTATAAAAACAAAACTTATATTTTCAAAAGACATCTCTTCATTGGACTGAAATCTCTCATCATTCGCTCAATTATTTTTTTCTCCAATGCTTCTCAGACCAATTTGTGAATAACTGTCTTGGTTGCATTGGATAGGTGGATGCAATCATCGTTGCATCAACGTCGGAGGCGCTAATGAAAAATGTCTTGCAAGAAGCTGGACCATCAGTCTCAACACAATATGATAGAGAAAGGTCTCAAAACCCACAAAAGTCCATTCCAACCAACGGTGGAAACTTAGAATGTAGACGTATTTATTTTATCCCATGTGAAACTTTGTCTAAAACTGCAGACAAATGGATATTTCGAAAATTTGTTTCTGAAGCGATCGTCATGGCAATTAATGATTCGATAAATAATATTCAATCAATTGCACTGCCAGCTATTGGCTGTGGATTATTGGGTTGTGACGTCAATTTTGTTGCTGAAACATTGATTGCGGCGGTTATCTATGAATTCAAGCATCGATCTTCGTTACAGCTGAATGTCTATTTTATCATTCAACAACATCGACAGAATGTGTTTGACGTGTTTCAAAATCAATTACAGACAATGAAAGCGAATACATCTACACCTATTCATAATTCACCTGCGAAGTTTGTAGCAAAATCTAAACCAAAAACTACACCCTACCCTCCAAATCCCAATCCATTTGAAATAAAGAAGCTTCCATTATCTCCTTCGACTAAAGAATATATTGATGCTGTTAATCGGTTTCAATCAACAATGACAGCACAACTTTATACAGAGATTCTTCATATTGAACATATATGGAACAAACGTTGGTATGAACAATATAGGATTCATTACGGAGAGTTCCGTAAACGGTTGGGTAAAGATACAGAAACATGGTTGTTCCACGGGTGCTCTGAAATTGCGGCAAACAGTATTATAAAAGAGTGTTTTAATCGCAGTTATGCTGGTATACACGGTAGGTATGCACTTGCATTTTGAATATAGCATTGAACTCATTCCAGTGAGGTACCTTCCCATGTCACAAAAATCGGTTAATCGGCAGGGAGCCGGTAAAGCGAGAAAAACCACCGGTTTACCGCGGTAAACTGGAGAAAAGTAGCAGTTCTCTCCGGTTAACCACGGTTTTTCTATGTCAAGGAGTCGGCAACCGGATCGATAAAATCGCGGTTAACCGCCAGGTGTTATCTGGTTTTCATCACATGGGTTCTTACAGTCATCTTACCATTCAGCAAGGCTACTACACTCATCGCGTAATCATTTAGTTCATCAATAGTGCATGTGTCTCCTTTCTCATTTAACTCCTTTTGCCAACGATCACACTAAAGTGCCTATCCAGTTGGCACTCATACCATATGACTCTAAACCAGGCTTGCCAAATCTCCTGATTTTGGCAGAAGTCTCCTGATTTTCTTACTTTTCTCCTGATGAAAAAATCTCCTGATTTCAGGAGCTGATTTTTACGATTTTCTCCTGATTTCTCCTGATTTTATTGTTTTTTAATTAATTGATGATTACCGGCACCTTGAATCAATGCAGACTTCCAAGAGAAAAGAAATCTTTCATTTTTTAATGGATATAATAATAATAATAGCCAATAAGATAATGCATTTCTTTTCGTTTTTTTTCTAACATGAAATCTTAACAGGCTTGCCAAACCTCCTGATTTGACCAGAAGACTTCTGATTTTTTGAACCTTTCTCCTGATAGAAAATCTCCTGTTTTCAGGAGCTGATTTTCAACATTCTCTCCTGATTTTTAGTTCTGTCCTACTTGCTTTGTAGCGATGCTTTGCATCAATAAGAAAGTGAAAAGGAAAAAAGAGAACTCTTGCAGTTTTTAATAGTTATAGTAGCAAATAAGAAAATACTTGCTTTTATTTCATTATTCTCCAAAACAAATCATCAATTACATGACCTAATTCTATAAAGAGCGCTTGTTTTACTGGAGATAGAAGAAAAGTACATGTTATTGTCTGGAAATCAAACAAGAGACCGATAGATAAAATTTTATATGACCAGGCCAGATGTCTCTCATCTGGAAAGAATTTTGCGTTTCTTGAAAATCACGTCAGATCCTTTTTAGCTCAGAACAGGACAATATCCTGAATAACTTACCAAGATTTCTGCATTTCATCTTCATTAGTAGTATGGAGTTGCTATAGGCTCATTTGAACTGCTATTTTGTTTTCAAAGTTTGATGGGAATTACAAACATGAAAAGAATGAATAGATCGATAATATGACAAAAAAAATGAAGGCATTAATAAAAGAGAAGCAGAAGTAATAATCATGTTGACAAAATGTTCATTTAATAGATCGTAATAGGCTTAAGAGAAAACAACTTCGTTTGTTGAAAGGTAACTTATCTTGTTCTTATAGCATATTAACGAAATACATTGCTCATTGTAGAAATGAGCAAAGAAGCACGTGTAAACGATTCACATAGTGATGTAAGAAAAAAAGAATGATTCTTTTTTTTTCAACTCTGGTAAGAGTGTTTCTAGCGTTCTATTGATTTATATAAATACTTTTCTTTGAACTTCACAATGAAAATGAATTTCGACAGATAGATCAGAATAAAATAGAATTTGGAAAAAATGGAGAATAGAATATAAACTGGTCAAGTGTACTTAATAGACATAAGTAAAGAAATATTGTGAAAGAACTCAAATGAAAATAATATCATTTGTAATAAATTATTGGTCATCAACTTGATATGAAAGAGATAAAAGTGTTTATGTGAGCGAAATTCGAATTTCCTAAGAGAAAATCAGCGAAAGTTCTCTTAACTTCAAACAGAAAACCCCCTGATTTTTCTCCTGATTTATAAAAGAAATTCTCCTGATAAACTCCTGTTTTTTGATAAAAAAACTCCTGATTTCCAAAATTTCGATTTGGCAAGCCTGCTCTAAACTCAAGTGTGCGATTAGTCATAATCAATTTTGATTATGAACAAAAACTAATGTAAACGAAATGTGTTGTCACTCAATCGATTATTTAGCATGCATAACGAAAATCTTTTAGAATGTATTTTCGTTCGAATAATAATCAGATCAAGAAGCTTTTGATTCATTTTCGTCGACCACTCTTGTAACAGAATGGTGATGTTTATTGCTCCATCTATCATTATAGGACGAAATAATGGATACAGGAGTGAGAGAGGTAAATGAATCAGAAAGGACTGATAAATGATATGCAAATGGAGTTATTCACATACACACGCGAAAGAGAGAAAAAAAGAGATCAACGATGTACATTTTACTATCCTTCATAACTATACTGTTCTCTATCGTTTAGGCACGTCATATGGTAATGGAGTCTATTTTTCTTCAAAAGCTAGCTACAGCCATCGTTATGCCGATGCGAATTCCAACGGAGAACGATGTATGTTTTTGGCTCAAGTACTTGTGGGCAATACAACTACCGGAAATTCTTCGATGAAAACTTGCCCACTCGGTTTCGATACAACAACAGATGGCTCTCACATATCTGTCACTTATCATGACAGCCAAGCTTTTGGAAAGTACTTAATCACGTACAAATAGACATTGAAAATACGGATTTTATCTGTTGAAAATCATTTTCAACAAAAAAATTTATTTAAATCAAGATGAAAAGTGTATTTGAAACAAATAAATAAACCTATGAAAGTATTCACTCTTCTATAATCTTCGTAATCTTTTTGGTTTTCGAAGAAAAGTGTTCATTACTCTGATAATATCAAATACTTTATTGAAAGGTAGAATATCGCTCATTTTTCAAAAATTAAGAAGTTCGAATTCCGAAATCGTAGCGCGATAGAAATTGTTTTGTAGTATTACTAGATCGTGTGTGGTTTTGCGTCGGGGTGAGGGTGGAAGTGTTAGTTTTTTTGTACCACACATCCACACCCACACCTAGTTTCTGAATCTCCAGCTGTCGGTTTCGATGGCAGACGAGTGAGAGTGAGAGATTGGTGAATAGGTAGATATAGGTGACGGTGAGAATAAAGATGATTGCGGCATTGTTTTCGTTCATGCCCATTCACGCCACCTTCATTACTCATCGTCAAGATGTTTTTTACCGGGCTTCTTTTTAGCCTAGTGAGTTATCGAATATAATCTTAATTGATGGAAAGTAAGGACTTTTGGTTGGGTCTTTTTTGAATTTCGATTCATCCAACATCGCAGCAAGCTATAACTGTCAAGTTAGTAAATACTTTTGCTATGTAAGAAGAAGTGTCGAGATTTCTACCTTGAGTTTCATAGTGCATATGAATCAAGAAATCAACTTATTTACTTAGAAAGAGTGAAAGGACATCAAGACGTTGACATGATCGATCAATTTTTTTTGACATTTAACTTCATGAGATAAAGGAGTTAAAACAAATAATTTTTAAGACATACAAGAGTGAAATGATCGATGTATTAAAAGAAAGCAAAAATGAGAATCAAAAAGTTACATTAGAAAGATATCAATCAGTATAGTGTCATGTTTTCTTCATCATTTCTTTGATAATCAACGGTATTAGAGCTTTGGCAGTATCTTTTCCTTCTTTCTGAAGAAATTCTTCCAAAATAGGTTGAGATATTTTAAATAATTCTACAATTTTATCAAGCATCATCGACAAGAACGATTGATTTTCAGCAATAGTGTAACACCAAGCAACGAGTTTATCGTCTTTCAACGACGTTATGATGGCAAAAATAAGTTCATTAATACCTTCGACTACTTTTCTTACACCAAGACCAATATCTTCGTAAATAATACTATTCACTAATGTATACAGAGCAACATTTCCGTAATATTTTATATTGGTTTCGTTACGTGTCATACTGTGATAACGAGAAAGAAACGAATGAAAATCATTCAATTCATGAGCACGTTGTTGATTTCCTTTACTATACTTGTTCGTACAGACAAGAGCACAAAAAATATTTGATTGAATACATGTATCAATAAGCCATTGTAATTGATCGAGTCTAGCGAATGAATCTGGAGATGCACAATAAATCATACAGAGAGGAGTGCTCTCAAGCATAATTTTCGTAAAATGCTTTTGTACATTATCTACCGTTCAAGATTCAATACCAGATGTATCCCAGATTGTAATAGAATATTCAGTTGAACTTGCAGCTTCATTAACTGATTGATAAGTTTGATGTAACACATATTTTTTCATTTCATCAGTTGCTGAACATAAACTACTACTGGTTTTGGGTACTTCTTTTCCACATAGAGAGTTAACAAGTGTACTTTTGCCAACACAAGTTGAACCACAAACAACTATATTAACCTGCTTAACCATAAGTAATAGCAAGAAATATGTATTATCTAGAAAAATTAAAAAGACTTGAATGATGCAATCATGAATCACAAGACAAAAAGAAGAATATAGGACACAATTATGCAGAAGGTTTTTCGAATCCTGCTAGAAATAGACATCATTGCATTTCATGCAATTTCTTAGGTTGATTTACCAACCATATTTTGTAAATTTTCGATTCGAACTGAAACAAAACCACTAACCTTTTGGTTTAACTTTTGCCAATAACTCATTATACGATGCATGAGTTCATCAACACCTTGTACTGGTTTCTTTTCAGATGAATGTTCGAGATCGTAATATTCGATGGACTGGACCATTGTACAAAGTGAATTGTTATCAAATATTGTTACTTTGTGAGAAATTCAAGTATATAATTGATCAAAGAGCGCTTCATTTCTATCACCGCAAACAGTCAATTCTTTTTCAAAATCACGGATGGCTTCTTGTCGAGAAACATTCGACCACATATTTGTGCAAACGAAAGCCCAAATGATCTTCCTTTTCTAACAAAATTTCAATACTTGACGGACTTGTGATAAATCAGCAAACATGTTCCAGGTGCAGCACAATAAATAACACAAATAGAGAAAATTTATTCGAAATGGTTTTATACCAGGCATTTGTTTTTGATTGTCTTCCAAAAGTAACATCTTACTTCCTTCGTACATGAATTCAGACTAGGACTTGTTTCAACTTTATTCTTATCGTTATCTATCGTATTAAGAGTCTATGGGTTTTTTTTTTATTTCAAATTGAATTTTGAATAAAAAATAACACCCCATTTTTACCAAGACAGAGGGACTAAGGGACTAAGGGGACTAAGGGGACTAACTAAGCGGACTAAGGGTAGGAATAATGGTGTACACAGAGACGTGCATGGGTCGCGGCTCTTCGGAGGGAGCTTCGCGCCCCCACGCCGCGACGCTGAAATAAAAGCATACTATGGGCTATTTAATTTCAGTCTGAATTTATCAAATAAAAATAATACTTGATTTCAAACTGAAACGTGAGTCTAGGAGTGAGGGGGGGGGAGTGACTGAGGGTGTGGGTGTTGGTCTGGGACCCACACACACACCCACACCCATGGTGCGGGTGTGGGCGCGCGAGTGAGGGTGAGGGTGTGCTTGTGGCTTTGTGTACTATAGGCTTTAGTCCCCTGCACAAGGGACTAAGCGGGGACTAAGCTTTTTGTGGGGGGGACTAAGGGGGACTTTGCAGGACTAGGGGGGACTAAGGGTTTTTAGTGGGACTACGTAGTATCAAACGAGAAACGTTTGATTCGGAAGAAGTTGGTGCGGTTTTTTTGATTTTAGAATTCAGTTTGAAATAAAAAAGCCCATAGACTCAATAAAAGGTATGTTAGGTGGGGAAACACGCTTCCCCACTGAATAGTCCGCTTAGTGCCCTTAGTCCCCTTAGTCCCTTAGCCCCCTTAGTCCCTTAGTCCCTTAGCCCCCTTAGTCCCTTAGTCCCCTTAGTCCCTCAGTCCCTTAGTCCCTTAGTCCCCTTAGTCCCCTTGGTCCCTTAGTCCCCTTAGTCCTTCAGTCCCTTAGCCCCCTTAGTCCCCT